GTGTGTGTGTGTGCGTGCGTGCGTGCGCGTGTGTGTGTGAGACCCATACTGCGTTTTTTTTTTTTTTTTGTTCGTGTCAACCAAATCTAACTATTCATGCGTTTCAAAGGTCACGTCAAAGCAATGTCGTGTGCAGATGCTCCACATCTCCTCCGCCACACAAAACGCGTAATTGAAGAAAAAAATAAATGAACGCAGGGCAGCTTGTGAGACCCTGAACACCCACAACACTCTTCATCCCTTCTGCGGGCTCTGGTGATGATGATGATGATGATGTCCAGAGCAGCGCAAATGTACAACAACATAACGCACAGAACCATGCGCGCAGGCACAAAATGCACAACATTACGAGCGCTGCCATCACCAGACAGAAGAGAAAAGGGAGACCCGCGGAGCGCACAGACGCCCGCATCCAAACACAGGAACAACAACGAAATTCGAGAAATATAAACTTTCCACTTCTGCTCGCGTCTCCATCCAGCTCAGGCTGCGCGTCTCACTCACCTTGGTTCAAAGTGATCGCCAAAGTTATGATCCACAAGGCTGGCATGGTTCAGCCGAGCGCATTCAGATTCCTCCCCTCGGCTCCCCAAAAAGACACCATCAATTCCTCCCGAGCGGGTGAATTCACCAGGAATCCTCTTTGAGTCATGAGAGTGAAAGAAGACAAATTTGGAGAAAAAAAATGAAATAAAATCCGATGCCTCTTGTTCACCTCTCCTCCTGCTTTTTCTTTCCTTTCTCCAACTGTTCCACTATTTTTTCCCCCCGTGCGTAAAATAAATCTGTCTTCACTTTTTTCTATCCTTTTTTTTTTTTAGGTTTCTCAGTCTGCGTCCCTTTTCCTCTCTGCGCTCTGGATTCCCATTTAAACAGGACTGAATTCCTCTCTCGCTCTCTCTCCCTCTCTCTCTGTCTCCCCCCCACCTCTCTCATACAATCAGTAGCACACACCCCCCTCCCTCCTCTACTACCACCACCTCCACCTCCTCCACGCCTCCCCGCTCCAAATCTCCGTTTAGGCTCCACGGTGAGGAGGAGGAGGAGGAGGAGGAGGAAGAGGGCGCTTCAGCGGCCGCAGCGAGAACTGCGCTTTACGCAGGAAAAAAGTTCAAACAAGCAAGTGTTCAAATTCACAAGTGAATGCACTTTAAACAGATTCTGTGGCAGGTCATGCATTTAAATCTTTCATAATGTTTAAATGAAAGTGAAACCGTCCAAGTGCGTAAAAGCAATCAGTAAAGAATCCCTCAGATGGGTTCTGTGGACACATTTCTGGACTTGAAGCTACTTTCCTACATGAGAGAAGTTGTTTTTTTAGTTGTTTTGCATGTGAGACTTCTGCATTTCTGCCTTTGTCTTTGTATTTCTCACTTGTTTTAAATGTACAGGAAAAGACATTAATAAAAAAATCAATGCCTCAATCATTAAAATATTATGAATCAAAACAACAAATTATTCGCTCGTGTTCAGTCCATCTAACAAACTGACACGGAAACACAATTAGCAGATTTTTTTTAGGAGCTAAACTATATTAAAAAGTCATGAATATTCAATGTGATGTTGTCTGTGATGGACCACAGTAATATCCACGGTGGCATTTATTTAATATTTGTGATCTGCTAACATATTCCAGTGGAGTACATCAGAGTATCTGGTGTGATAGTGAGCCTAATGTGTCTGTAATCTTCCCTTCAAGGCTTTTCTGATGTGACTAAACATTGATATTAACACCGTAAACACATTTAATTGGTGTAGCCTTGCAATTTAACCTTATTTTTCTCTAAGAACTTACATGGTGGCATTCAGTTGTGCGTTCAAAGTGATTCCTGTCTGGAGAGGGAACTTAAAACTCATAAGAACATGTATTTCATTTCACTGTCAACAAATACAGCGACATTTTACATTTAGGGGAATTCTCCTCACAAAAACTGTACAATTCAAATATGAAATGAAGTCAGCTTTGGCACCTACATCAGTGTGTTTTGCTAAATGTTATATAAATCACATTTTTGGGGGTGATTAGTTTTAACAACAGCACACTTTATATACGCTGACGATGGTTTCCTGTCTATTTAGGGAACAATTTCAACAGTTCTTTTCAGCTCAAATGGCCAGACAGAGTCATGGATCCTTATCAGTGTGCAGGTCGTGACTACTTACTGTGTAATTAACTGGTAGCACGTGTAGAAAATAAGGCTGATTATTAACCTCCACGCCAACATGTGGTACAGATTTTCCCCCAAAACCACAACCACAGTGCAAACTAAACGAGGGGAGGCTGGACAAAGATAAGAGAAGAAAGAAAGGAAGAAAGAAAGAAAGAAAGAAAGAAAGAAAGAAAGAAAGAAAGAAAGAAAGATCAAGAGACTCTTGAGGAGATGCATTTTTCTTTTTTGGTCTCAGAGGGAAAGAAAGCATCATTTAATAATTGAATTTAGACATAATAAGATAAAGTTAACGTCCAACATGGAATGTATTTTAATAGAATTACAGAAAATCAGTGGCTCTCAGTTTTATAACCAACCAGCATTTTTGTGTTTGAAACAAGAGGCTGTGATTGACTATATTGTACTGCCCTCTGTTGGACGTCTTCTTTAGCTGCATGGTGCAAAAATATGGCTTTTTATTACCTGTTGATAAGTTATGCAGCACTGAGTTCAGTGGTTACTGGAGTTGTGAGCCTTTAATCAGTGATTAGTCTTGGAAAGAAGATTGTTTAGTTCACAGAAAATAAGAGGAAAATACTTGAGGAAAAGGAAGAGTGGAAATTCTTGCAAAATTGACACCATAAAAGTGTACAAGTTCAAAATTCACTCACATTCTTGTTTATGCAGGATAATACTGAATATTAATACTGCTTTAAAATATCTGTGTTGTTTATTAAACTACTAAAAACTCATTCCAGCTTATCGAAGTTACATATTTAGACATTTAAATAATTCCTTTCTGACATAAAATGGCTTAGACGCGACTCTGCACCGCTGCTTTCTATCTACATCTTTCCCGCTCACGACAACTTGAGCACTCCAGCTCACCAACGCTCAAACACTGTGAGATACTCATAAATGCTAAGCTGTAATATTGAAGTTATTCAGCCATACATAGTTGATCAGGAAACTGATTTGGAAGAGGAACAATGACACAGAAATTTCCAGCCTGCAATCCAACAGGATGGTTCTTGAGGTTTGGTAACGTATGAAACCCTGAAAGTCTGTATCCGTGTTTATGGGACCATCATAAGTACGCTGCAGCTTTGAGGTGTAAATGCTCAGCCATGGTGTTGACTGGTAATTCCACTATAAAAATCACAATGTGGACATGTTTCAATGTGCAAAATGACATTTTTGCCAGAGAACAAATTTCTCAAGTTTTTCGAGGAAATGCGGAAACGTCACAATTTCCGAAGTGGTGCCGTGAAGTGCGAAGGACCGCAGGAACAAAAGTGCCAACGCAGGCAGACAGCAGACAGTTTAATATTTTGAATACAATCTGACTTTGAGAGTTTCTGAACAGGAAGAAGCAGCGACAAGACGTGTGAAATTAACCCAAATGCATGTTTATTGAAGTCAACAACTGAACTGGTATTTTAACAAAAAAGCAAAAAACAAAACAAAAAAAACCCCCAAAAGAAACAGATACTTTATGAACATAACAGCCAACAGACGCAAAACCCGCCACAGCATGCGGTTGGGGTCTCGCCTTGATGACATCATCAGCCATAGTACAAATCAACATACATGACAGCACTGTTCCCGTGTGATATGGATATTTATTCAAAAGGAAGACTTGTCATCCAAAACAATGACGCTGAAAAAACAAAGACATCGCTTTTAGTCGTCGAAATAAGAACGTTTCTGTGAATGCAACACACGCTAAGAGTGTCTCCGGAGTCTGTTTGGGTCAATTGATACACACCTCACACTCATACACAAACACACATACACACACATATGTACAAATACACCGTAGGAACAGACGTCACGCCTGCTGTGCATATCCAAACATGTGTGTGGATGTGTATGTACCCAAATGTGTGTGTGTGTGTGTGTGTGCAAAGTATGTATGGGTGCGCTTGTATCCAGTAAAGGCAACACTATATACATGAAATTATATAAAAATGGTTGTTGAAACAATAAAATATGCATAAAAACTAAATTTCTAACCTTCAAGTTTTGGAGAATCTAATTTTAACGAGAGGAAAGTCGATCGAACTGAAAATAATGAAAGATTATGCACACCTTTTACAAAACAAAATAATTTAAAAAATCAATTTGTTTACTCTACGGAAAGAAAAAGGAGACGAGCGGCAGATAGTGTGCGACTGCCTGAAGAGGAGTTGTTGGGGCAGGACAGCTCCGACTGACTGAAGAGGGAGAAGAAAAGCTGTTGTTTGCTGGCATCTGGTGACAGCAAGTTATTACTGCACGGATGCAATGAAATATAATCAGGCTGACTTCATGAATCAACGCCGCTGCTGTGGTTTTTTTTTATTGTAGCAGAAAAAAAGCGTAATGAGCCCTACTTGATGAGTGTGTTTCTGCAGGAGGTACAGATGCATCTAACTGGGGCAGCGTTTGCAGATCAGAGAACAGCGGCGAGGTCAGCCGGGCAGATCGGCCGCCCGTCGTCTCCGGAGAGAAGCTCTCGTCGGCACATCTCATCTCCCAACATCTATCTACAGTTTCCCAACCGTTTCTCATGCAAGCTACATGCTAGCACATTAACTAAGACGAAGGACAGGACGATAAGTTACAGGCAAATACAGGTCCATTAGTTTGTAAAAAGACGCTACACTTTGTTGAGTATGAGGCAGGTTTTCCTTTCTCTCCATTCACAGAGCAGGATTAGACTGGGGGGGTTAAATACAAATCAGTGGTAACATCTGTCCAAAAAGTGGACGCTTGACTCCGCGAGACGAAGCCGATTCTCTGGTCTGCAAGCAAACGGAGCGAGAGGCCGAGGAGTTCTCTGAGAGCAAACGCGAGATAAACAGTGTTCTGGGTTTACTTCGGTTTGGGAGTTCGAGCACTGTTTAAGTCAAGTTTACTACCTCGAATTCCAGCTCATGGAAGAAGAAAAATAAAAAGCACAACAGCTGACCCTGCTTCAGGTTACCCTTTGTAGTATAGCTAGCTTATAGACGGACTAGCTGAGCGACTCGCCAGCTAGGTAGCAACAACGTGAGGGGGGAAAAGGTACGGTCCCTGAACATTCCCAAAAAAAAAGAAAAGAAAAGGTGTACAAAAACTATCACAGACATAACTGTCTACGGGCGGGCTGACGACAGCAAATGGATTCCTCTCCAGAAGCGAAGAGCCGTCTAGAGACACTACTTCTACAGTACGTCTACGTGGACTTTCTGGATGGAGAGACGGAGTGACCGGTAAGGAGACATCGATCAGAGATGGAGGGGAGCGATGAGGAAAGAGGGGAGACGAGGGGGTGAAGGTGGATCAGGACGCAGACGGGATGATTGATTAAAGACTGAAAAGAAACGGACGAGCGGAGCGGAGGGAGGAAAATGAGAAGAGGACGTTTGAGTTTCCTAAATGACTTTTCTTCAGCGTTATAGCGCAGCCCAGACTCCAGCTCGGCACCCTGCCCGCCAAACCAAACCTTGGCATGTGTACAGTCTGGAGCCCAGAGCCTCTTAGTTAGATTGCAATCAATTTCCATGACCGGGCCAAGTGGAGCTTGCCGGTGCCAAGGCGAACTCCCAACCTTAATAAAACACTGTTCATTTATGGGAACCTTTTGCTAAGCTGGTGAATGATTCCTGTCTGCAGCAACAACACACACACGCAGAAAAAGAAAAGGTTGCGGGGTTGTTGTTTTTTTTTTTTTGTTTGTTATTTTTTTTTGCCAGGAAGTTTGTCATAATGCATGTAGGCAGTCTTGTTTGGCCCTGTAGTGAAAAGCAAGCGAGCATTTTCACCTCCCGAAGCAGCAGAGTGCCAGCTTCTTAGAGGAAGTCATGATGTCACCGCTCAATGAATTTAGTGCCGGGCGGCCTCGCCGAGACAAGCGAGTCTGCTGCAGGGAGAAAAACGGCGAAGGTGAGCGGCAGGTTCAGCAGGGCCACGTTGAAGGAAACACCACATCGGGCAGATAAACTCCGCCAAACACTCGGACACCTTTTCGAAGCTGTTTTCGAACGAGGTCTTGCTACAGATTTTAGGGGCAGAGGTGGTCGACGAAAGCAGGAGGACAAAATGGCGGCACTGAATACACAGAAAAAAAAAGAAAAGTCAATAAAATGAACAGCACCAAAACCCTAAAACCTCAAAATCGAAGTTGAAAAATTAAGATTCATGGACTCCCGGACTGACGAACTGACAGACACTGTAAACTGTTAACACTGACGGTAACACACCGAGACACTGACGAGAGAAAATCTCCCATAAGTCCCATAAACGAACCAAAAAAAGGAACAAAAGGTCCAAAAAAAAAAGAAGAAAAAAAAGAAAACAGAAGGAAAACATTCTTCATACAAATATTTGCAGTTAAGGTTAGTGTTCATCGCAACATCTTTGTTGTTATTTTCATATTTTTTTTCCCGAGATATTGATATTTTCGACTCTGCATTTCCACGCATGTAATAAAAACAGGCAGGCTTTTTTTGAGTATATAAGTTACTGTAATGCAGTAACAGACTGTATGAGATAGAGGAGAGAGGGAGCTGTAGAGAGAAGAGACAGAGGCTAGAAACAGGACAGAGAGAGAGAGAGAGAGTGTACAGCACACCAAACATTTTCTGTCAAGTAAAAAGAATGCTATATAATTTTATATATATATATTTATATATGTATACTGGAGCCCCTCGGCTTGGTAGCGCAAAGGTGGGAATGCTATTTTTCCATGAGTGCTTCTTCTTTTTTTTTTTTTTGTGGCGGTGCGTTGTGGAAACTTCGACGGCTCGTACCTGGGCTTTGTGAGGACACGGGAAGAGGTTCGATGGTATAAAAAGATTTAACCGCGCGGCAATATTTTTCCTTTCTCTGCCACGAAGGATTGTTTACGGAGGGATTCCGCCTGGCTAGATGGAGAGAATGAGGACAGAAAAAGGTGAAAACACGGACCTGGTTTCGGTTTAAATGTCGAGGAGAGAGGTGAAACATCAGCTCGAGGAATGTGACTTACAATTTTGCTTTTTCGCGGCGCTGACAGTTTAGAAACAGGATGCTAGAACTGTGTTAAGGATGCGTTGTTAGGAGGCTTGTGTTTGTTAATCGGAGCGACAGTCTGTGTGAGTGAAGAGGTTTTCCCCCCCAAGGACTGACTCATGTATGTATGTTTGTGTTTGAGTGTGGTTGACTTCAGTTCGTCCGTATGTCAGTGCAAAAAGATCTCACTTCCCTGTATCAATGCAAAGAGGGTAGTACCAGTTGAAGCTCGACTCGTCGCGTTCTCCTGCCCCGCAGTTCTTTCCCTCCCATCCCCTCCCATCATCCCTCCAACCGAGCGAAGAACTGAAGCGTCGTGAAAACAAATGGAGGTTTTTTTTTCCCTTCACTCCTCCCCTCTCCTCTACTTCCACGTCCTCCAACTTTTCCTCCTCCTCCTTCTCCCGCTCCTTTCCTCCACCACTCTGTCCTCTGTCTAGATGAAGTACTCCTTCTTGTCGTCTCCTCCGGAGTGGCCTCCCTCGGCGTTGATGATGGCCGTGTCGGCGTCGGGGGCGTCATCCGAGCCCTTGGCCTCGTGGGTCAGATACGTTCCTGTGGCGAGAAGAGACGGCGAGTGAGCGAGAGGATAAAAAGGGGGAGGAGATTGTTGAGGCAGTAAAAGTCAACCACTGGAACTGTAAAATGACCAGAGCGAGGCCAGCAGGATGGAGGGTTGTTTTAAACACTGGAGTGGCAGGACAATCCAACATGATGTCTGAATTATCACTTCAGCTGCTTTCTGTAAGTAGCTTTGGCTTCTAATGGGGATGTGTTGCTATGTCAGAAAGTTTTCTTTAACCCTCTGAACCCACAGAACAAAAACACATCTTTACAAAAATCTGCAAACCTGATGCCATTTATCAGAGTCAGGAACTGAAAAAATAGTCAGATTTCCACCTGTGTGGCCGTCCTTGTATGAATCGTGTGTGATGTGCAATCCCTTTAAGAAAATTAGCCAAATCTACGCTTAAAATAGTTCATCAAAGTGACTGTTTTCTGCATGTTTCATTAAAAAAAAACAAAAAAAAAAACACCAACACCAACTGGATTCTACCGAACAACAGATTTAACAAATTAAAAATGTATTTTTGTCAGTATTAGTAACACCTGTGGTTTCCATACAGGTGCAGGAGTTTGTATGACAGTGAAAAATGAGCCCACAGTGAGCAAAAATGCGACAAAAACGAAAGAAAAAACAAACAAACAATCTAAATAAATAAATAAATAAAAACTCCCAGAACCTGCAGAGTTCAGAGGGTTAAGTTTGAGGCACGCAAGAAGTCCTAAAGTCCTGAAAACTGTAGAAATTAAGTGTTTTATGTGGAAGTTTGTTAACGAGTATCAGCTAGAAATGAGGCAAAAAGTTAGAAGAATGTCTCTCTGACTAAACTTCTGCTGGTTATTTGGCAATTTGTGTGTTAAAAAGACACCTCAATGGATCATTTAGCTGGAAAAAGTTTTAGACGTTCAGTTTACACGGTCGGGCCTGTTTCAAAGCAAAGTACAAAACTGCAGAATATGAAGCCTCCACATGTAAAAAGCCTTTTTTTTTTTAAAACCTCAATGTTTTGGTCTTTTTGCACTTTTTGCTTTGGATTATAATCTCCAGGTGATATACAACATAACTACAGTGTTCTGTTTTTGTCTGTTAGAACTTTCTGTTACTTGTGAAATGAGCGTAGAAGTAGATTCTTAACCTTGGAAATAATAGTTTGGCCAAAAATAAATAAATAAATAGAATAATATGTCTGAATAACAGCACATCCTTTCATGGAGAATAATAAATGTCCTACTTTGTCAAGAAGGCCATGAGATGGGAAGTTATTTTGTCGAACTGCATTTTAAATAATTACAATTTTATCAAATACAATAGAAATAGACGTGTAGCCTTGTTTCAAGGATTCAAGATTCAAGGCCTTAAATAGTCACAGTTATACCTGGTATAACAGTGAAATGTGTTGTGCACCTGTTCCGCATCGAAACAAGAAGAAGAAAGAATAAAACACACAAGAAATAAATATATAAATGAATATAGATATCGAGAGAGAACATGTGTGTCGTGTGCTGTATGTGTTTTACTGTAAGCGTGACTATTGTCGGTTGCTTCTGTGTGCCACCAGTGAGAACTATGCACACATCTACTAACACATAACGGCACCTGTGCACAGGTGTCCAACCCAGCCGGGGGGAATCACTAGTGCAGTGACACGGACGTGAGCCCGAGCAGATCTGGCACCTGTGAACGGCGGCCGCCGGCCAGTCATGTTCAGCGTTCTGGAGCAGCTTGAGGCACTAAAGTCAGGAGTTGAATGGTGCTCACCGTGGTGTTTATCACCTGTCCCACCTGGGTGCTGAAACAACTCTTTATTACCTTTAACTGTCCCCTGCTGCTGCGACTCATTTCTGTTTGTTTACGTGCCAAAAGTGACAATTTGAAAGCCGAATAAGGGAGTCGAGCTGTCGTCCACTCGCAAAGAAGTTAATTACCTGCTCTGTCTGGGAAGCAATTAAGTTTCTATCAGATCACTTTAAATCCGCCGTTCGGCCGAACGAGTGGAAAATATACTGCTGATACATAGCTGACGTCGGGAAATCTCACAGGAAGTTGTGTGAGCCAAAACGTATTAAAAGGCAATGAATAAACATTCACTTATTGTCATTCATTCATTTTCCTATTCTGCTTGTGAGGCCTCATGCTTAGAATTCCATTTGCATTTCTGCATGTCCCTGAATTCATATGCATATGCTGCTTGTAGGTGTGAGATCCAGTCTTGGTACGCGTGTATCCATATTTATGCAAGTGTATCTCCGTGTATGCTCATGCATGCATGCATGAGCGTGTCTGTGCGGTTTGCATGTTGCGAGCCGGTGACCTTTGTGTCTGATGAGGTATCTGCCGAGGACGATGAGGAGGCAAAGCAGGATGAAGACGATAACGGCTACCACCCCTCCGATCACGGCGTGGTCCACCCCTGAAGAGGTCGACATGGCGGTGGGGTCTTAAGGAGAGGTCGGAGAGGAGAGAGGGAAACGTGAGAGGGGAGAACACGTGGTGGAGACGAGAAGAGAAACAGAAAAAAAACGAGGAAGGAACGAGAGAGACAGAGATTGAGAGCGGTGGAAACGGGAGAAAAGAGGGTTGGCAAGTGAATATTGGTGGAAACGGGAGACGGGATGATGAAAGGCAGCAGAAATAAAGAAAGAGACAGAGAGAGAGAGAGAATAATGGGGAGAGTGACAGAGAGACGCCAGAAAGAAAAGAAAAGAAAAGAAGAGGGGAGCAGAGAAGACTTGTCAATATGTAAAACCCACAGCGGGAAAAAAAAAACCTTCAGAAGACAAAGACGGGGATGTAAAAAAAAAAAAGTCAGGCGAAAGAAAGGATGCCGATGCGTCACCCTCCATTAAAAATTGTTCGTGACTAACATGCAACAGGATCGTTTACAGACCAGGTCACTTGTTAAAACCTGGTAGGAACACACACACACTCGTGATGTCGGGTGAAATCCATTATACGTCTTTTCTCAATGACTCAATGATTTTATGCTTCTCAATGAATTAAACTCTCAAAGTGTTCAGGCTTAAGAAAATCAAAGCCTGGATTACCCTTCCAGGGAATACAAGCACCTGCACCAGGGACCCTGACCTCCACCGGCCCCCAAATCCCAAGGTTCGTTTTTTTTTGTGATGATTTTATTAACTACAAATTGAAACCTCTCTGTGCTGCTTTATTCCAACCAAGGTGGAAATTATTGTATTTCAAAATTCTCCCAAGTGTCTTTTATCCATCGAGCCCAAGGTTGTTCATTTTGGCTTCGTGGTTTTGCAGCTGTTACTGACAAAATTGGGGGGATGTTTTTCAGGTGGGAATTTTAAAAAATAGCCTCAGGGCTGAAGTGCTTAGACTCCCTCTTTGGTCATTGTGATGCTGGAGAATAAATTTGGGATAAAAATAAAATAAAAAATCACTGTATTGCACAAAAAAAAGGCCAGAAGACATCTGAAGTATCATTTTCTTAGTCTTTATATTGATATATTAAAGGTTGTGCTTAAACTGTTTTATCGGTTCATGTGCATACAGACGATACAGAACCTATTAGAGCCTGATGCATCTGGTGTTTTAGTTAAATTTATACAGACAATAACGCTCAGACGGCAACATAAAAAGTTACACAAAGGTCCTTAAGGACAAAAATGTGCCTATGGCGGCGTTAGAATTAAACAGCATTAGCATAATGGCCTAAAAAGTTTTGATATTTTATGATTGCAATAAAATACAGTTAAAGTTTTCCAAACACTTGTTTAATTTCTGTAACTTGCACTTATATAGGAAAAAAAAATCAACAGAAGCTACTATGTGCTGCCGAAAAAGGTTCAGTTTTCTTTTATAATAAATCTCTACAGGATCATTGTTCCAGAAGATGTTCCCACATCTGGTGTTTTGATGGTGTCGGTCCAAAAGCTTCCGTTGGGTTTGGGTGAGATCTAGCAACAGTGAAGGCCACAGCATCGGATTCACATCAGTTTCACACTCACCAGTGACCCCGAAAAAGAAGACCGATTCTCCTCATTTCTAAAGAGCAGGGTTTTCTTTTTTTATTTTTTACAGATGTAGGTTTTTCACCCAACAACAGAGATGTGATATGCTGCACTCCCACTTTTTGTGAGCCACTTCAGCGACTCGGCCCTCGGAGAAGAAAGCAATCTGAGGGGAAATAATTTGATACATGATTTATTTCGCCTGACTTTTCAGACTTGATCAAACGCTGGGTGTCAGTTTGACAGTCACTCAGATGGGCACAATTCAAAGGCGATGCTTCTCATAGCAAAAAAAAGCGTAAAAAAATAAAATGATAATGCAGGAGTAATAAGAAAAGGGTTGGAAATAGACTTAAAACCAATGTGGAGGGCAAGGATTCAACCAGAGGAAGAAAAGGCTGGATTATCAAATTACAGGAAAGACACAGAAGCCCCTGTCAGACATGCTCTCCTTTCTATTATCCTGACGGCGTCCGAACATGTCGGCTTCATGTCTGAATGAGCGCCCAGGTCACTTTTCCGCAGAAGGCATCTTAGCAGGTTGTCACATTAGCAGATAAGCAACAGTTCTTCGTCTTTTTGTGGCATCAGTCCAAACTTAAAAGTCAGAAACAAGCAATAAAGAGTCTGAAACAAGTCGGATTAATGAGACTTACCAACAATAAATGTAATCCAGACAAACTGAAGTTGAGTTTGTTGCTTCCAGTTGTTTGTAGGAGTTTTTCCTCTGAGATAATTGAAGCAGCAGCATCTACATGAGCTTCTCCAATGCAAGAGACCTGCACGCATTTGTGCATAAAAAAAGCAGCAATAAACCTCAATGATCCCTGATGTGGAGACAGGATCGATCAGGTGTGTACGTTTCTGCACATACAAAGTTTATAAGCCGCACTTCAATCACTTGTTACTTGGAATCCAGGTCGAGTCCTCCATCACAACTGTCGAGATACTTTTAGTTTTCTGTTCGTAAAGCAGAATTTTGATCATCATCACACACGGTAAGAACCTCCACTGTTTAGGAAATCATAAATAAACGAGGCAATTAGTTCTGTGGACAGCTTGATAAGCCTGCTATTAGTTTCAATGAAGTATTTTGTTTATTATTGCTTTATTATGCATCATACATCAATTGATATTCTGTCTAATCTTGCGTGTATGACAAATACTGCACCGCGGTTCTCTTCCTCACTGTTGAACACTACAGGAAAAGTGACCGAAGTCTCAGAAAGCCGCCACTTTAACAGACTGATGAAGCAGCAGCGTTACATACTCCATGTCTGAAAGGGGCTTTAGAGGCAACAGATAACCAGAGATGTAGACAAAATAACTGAAAATGGAAGGAAGGAAGGAACACGTTACAGTCACCAGATGATGTGATTAATGGCTAATTTTGAAGGGAAAAAAAAGGGGGAACAATTTGAGCCAGTTAGAGAGGTGACAGCAGCCAACCAGAGGCCGGCTGGAGACAGAGGAAAAGAAAGGGGGAAAAGTGGGTGAGGGGTTGGAGTCAGAATATCACACACACACATAGAGAAAGTCAAACACACACTCAGGCTGGCCGGCGTGGAGGTGAGAGGGGCATGCTGACGAGGCGAGACTGAGAATGAGCCCATAAATCCTGCTGTCAGCATCAAAGGAAAGCAGACAAGACCCAAGAACACCTCGAAGCCTGACCCCTCCCTCCCTCCCTCAGCGGCGCTAACACACACACACACACACACACACACATGGAACGAGACACACACACACACATAGAGAAACAGAGGAAAGTGGAACACTGTGTAAATGACTTGTACCACTTAAGAGGTCATGCTAGTGTGTGTGTGTGCGCGAGATAGATGTGTGCCGGAGAATGGAGCCTGCCAGTGCATGTATGGGCGACAACAAAGCATTACGTGGGCAGGAGTATAAAATATTCATCCCTCCGCTCAGAAGTTCAAAGTGTCCCCAGACTACTTTTTTTTTTTTTTTTTATTCCTAGTGTGACAGACAGGCAAAAAAACAACAGACAGAACTACAGAGTCAGACGCACAGACAGGTGGACGGAAAGTGACAGAAAGTCAAAAAACGACAGGTGACTTGGTGGAAAAGTTATACCTGGAATGTTGACTGCATCGTCTTCTCAAGTGGATGAGTAGGCGGATTGTTGAATGTTTGGATGGATTGATGGATGGATGGATGGATGGATGGATGGTTTGATAAGTGTGCATTGAGGATTAGGGATTATCAACAGGAGGAAAGAGGAAAACAAGAAAAAAAACCATGAAACAGCTGTGACACGGTCACACCAATGCCATTTTTGTCCTTTCATTGTGCGTTCCTTTTGCAAATCCCAGCTACACAATGCAAGCACAGTTTCTACATTTTTGTTTTTTTGCATTTGTCGCTCCACTACTTCTTGCATGTCTCTTGTTGTACAAGTGTGTGTGAAAGAGTGTAACTGGGTTTACCTGTGAAAGTGTAAACTCCATTCAGCTGGACGGAAACTGAGGGAGTAAGGGAGGAGGAGGAGGAGGAGGCGGGGGTGGAGGAGGGAGTGGCAGTGGGAGGGGCTGTGCTGGCGGAGGAGGGAGTCGGGGAGGAGGAAGAGGTGGGGAAAGAGGAAGAGGAGGAGTCGGGGGAGAACGGCAGGTCGGGGAAAAGGGCGTTGGAGAGGGTGGTGGCGGATGTGGAGAAGGACGCATCGAGGGAGGAGTCGGAGGAATCGGAGCCAGAGCCGAAGAAGTCGAGAGGGGAGGAGGAGGAAGAGGGAGGGGAGGATGAGGAGCTAGGAGAGCCGAGCGAGGGGAACGGGGCATCGGGGGAGTCTGGGTTCCAGGGATCTTTGTAGGTGGAGATGTGGGTATAAGCAAAGCGCCAAGAAAACAAACAAAAAAACCAAAAACGGCCATGGATCGAACGAAAACATCAAAGCAAAAGGGGAAGAGAAGCGCATGAACGAGCAGCGAAAAGCGATTTGGATGGTAAAAGCGATGCCGGTGGTTGGTGGTGGTGGTTTTTGGTGGTGGTTATGGTGGCGCGGTTTGGATGAGATAAAAATAAAAACACAAAACAACAAACAAAAACAGGAGGAAAAGAAACGAAAGAAAATCAGAAGAGAAAAAAGATGGAAGTACAAGCAAAAGCCACAACAAACGACAGAAGAAATAAAAAAACGTGTGATGAAGAAAAAAGAAGAAGACAATCCCAAACCCTTGGTCTACATCCCGTCTTTCTGGCTGTGCTTCTCGTTACCTTGCACCAGGAGGACGTACTCCCCCTGGCCGTTTCCGATGCCGTTGTCGGCGTGGCAGAGGTAGACGCCATTATCTGATTTGTTGAGCATCGAGAAAAACAGGACGGCACCTTCGGTTTTGGCCAGCGAGGGGAGCTCTCCGTCCTTCTTCTCCCAGATGTAGGTGGTGGGCCTGAGCCGGGAGGGAAGGGAGACAGAAAAAAAGAAGAAGGAGAGTGTTGAGTCCAACTGTACATGCTCTGCACATTTTGCACAGTAAAAAAAAAAGATGGGGTGAAGTGATGAGTGGCGAAGGGAGCTGTGACAAGTGCTGCAGGAGAAATGGGAAAAAAAAGGTTGAATGATTGAAATGGCCAAAGGAGAGCAATAAAGACAGAAAAAAAAAAGAAGAAGGTGAGAACACATAAGAGGTGGTTGGATGGAGGAGGGAATGAATGACGGGGGAGTGTCGCAGATTGGAGAAGAGAAGAGATTAAAAGAGATGGAAGGAGAAGAAGACAACAGAACCAAGATCAGCATTTCAAATCAGCCTGTGTTGGAAAAAAAAAAATCCATTCTGCATAACAGATTGTGTATGAGAGAGATAGCGAGACGTGCCTTGATAAAAGAATCAATTATGTAAATTTGCAAGTCCTTAAGCGCTGTACAGTAATTACAATGACGGGGAGTCTGAATCAGGGACAGACCTGAATGTGCTGGACTGATTAATCGCTCTTAGAAATGTGGAAAAAAAAAACTTCCTCCTAAAGGTGCAATCTGTAAATTTGCGGCTTCATTCAGGTGGGCATTTGTATGGAAACGGGTATAATTCAAGCTCCACACCAGTATTTCAACATCTAGTAGGAGGATGCTTAGCTGTAAAACAACAACTCTATCTGTTGTTGCTCCTGGGCACAAAAAAAAAATCTCAAACTGGCTGAGAGCTAATGAAAAAACATAATCTGCTCCCTTGACACTTGCTTGTTGAGCAAACAGTCGGAAAGACTGAGTCAAAGTTTTGAATGCATTTCATTTTAGGAATATAAATCCTAACAATGCAGGAAAAAAAGGAGGTCGTGTTCAGTCAGCTGTCCTGAGGCGAATAAAAGACTATTATTCAACCATAAAGTGTTTAAAAAAACAAGCGGCCGAGTGTTGTTGTGTTTTTTTTTTTCTTTCCTGCCATCATCTGGTTACCTGCAATAAAATGTAATCAGCTGTTGTATTACACCGCCTCCCAATGCTAGACAATATGCAATTAACTGAACAATTAACTTCACATTTACAGGCTGTAACTCGCGCGGTGTTATTAAACATAATGCTCAATATGCGTTTATATGTTATACAGCAGGTAGTTTAAGTGCAGGGAGCCGATTGGTCGAAACGTCTGAATCCCGTGTTTTATTCTCTGCTTAGGTGGGAACTTTTCAATTAGCACGTATGCATTAGTAAACACTGTACAGACGTCTTTATTGCAATTACGGGTGCTTTGGTGCTGCACGCGCCTCCCTCTCCCAGCTGTAATCATTATCACTGCAAAGAATGAGCTTTTGGGTGTTTTTGTTAAATTATTAATATGAGATTTGTTAAATTATGCTAATTTCTGTTTTAAAAAAATCTTTGTAATTCAAGACTTATTACTAGCAAAAGTATCATGTCAACAGACAGTTGTGTTTTTTCACAATTAGAGATTATTAAAAGGACGAGCGCTTTGTTGTTTTTTTTTATTTTTTATTTTTTTTGAGCAAAATTCCCAGAGAGGACCGACAACAGATTCATTTCAGATCTCATTACTTCCTCTCTTTACCGAGCGAGTCTGCGGCAAGATCACTCAAAATAAAAAAAGAGAGAATTGTTGAAGCAGCTTAAATTAATTGCTGCCACTGATGACACATTATTAAAATAAGTTTATCCAAATGAAGGTAACGAGTAATGAGTTAGACGTGCTTAAATCATCTGATACCTGTAAAAATGAAAAGTTGCTGCAGATTGATTTTAAGGAAAGTCGACTTCAAGTTTCCCCGTTTTTCCAACTTACCCACACGTAAAATGTAAAGCGTGTTTTTGTCATCGCACTTCTACCGTTTTATTCTTTTCTTTACTCTGTAATCAGACTCAAAGCAACCAGCGATTGAATTGCTGCAGAAAAATGTAAACATTAAAGAAGAAAACCAGTTTAAAAGGTGCAAAATGTAATTTTTAAGTTGATAAACCAGAAAAGTTGAAGGAAATTCACTCACAAAAAACACCCAAAACGCTTTACTTCAGCTACACCTCAAATACCCTTTAAACAGTGTGGTTCCTCCAGAAGATGGACAGACTCGAAGCTGCTTTGATCTCTATTTTTCAGTTAACAGCGGATGCCCCGACAAATCAACTAACTTTGCACCTCTCTTCAGGAGTTTTTCAGCTCTCGGTTCTGGAGCCCACAGTTTAACTGTTCTGATTCAGTTGGCTCTCAGCAGTGCAGTTTCGAGACACATCAGGCAGCTCTTTTCAGCCAGAAAAGCTCTGATCAACCTACTGTTACTCCCTGCTCAGCACCACACATCAGACAGACAAAGTCAGCGGTTAGCTGGCGAAGAAAGTGGAGAATTTCGCTGCTAAAGAGGCAGATATTTCCCTCTGGACTCGGCGGAGACCAAAACAAAAGGAAGAACGAACAGCGGTCCTTCCCAGACTTTAAATGAGCGATAATGTTGCTCTGTCTGACGTGCAAATAAAAGTCTTTATAAAACTTTATAAAATGTTGCCAAGGATTCAGCTGCTGCTACTTTGAGTTGTGTACAAAGTGTAATTTAATAAAAAATGAAACTAAAATGATCAGAAACAGCTGAGGGCACTGGCAAAAGTCAGGAACAAAGAGTGCACTTTTGGAGGTGCAGCGCCCGGCGTAACAAGGAGAAGGTCACGGAGTGCAGTGAAGTGGCTCGTGGATATGATTTTAGCCGTTCTCGAGATGAACAAGATATATCAGCTTCGACCACCAAGAATAATCCTGGTTATCCTTCAAGGAAACAGTAAGAAAAGGATAGACCGTGCCAGCCTTGTCCTTTAACAAGTTCCCGATTAGTGTAATCTTGTTACATACCACCTGCTGTTCTCTAAACATGGCCGTGACCTTGCACACACGAGGAAGCTTCACATGCAACACAAGAAACACCCGTGTGGCATAAATGCCTTAAGTGAACAGTCCGACGCGGTTAAATGACTGAAATGAGCGGCGGGTTGAGAGCGGTCCTTGGCCGCGCTGATCAAATAGACGGGAAATATAACAGAATGTAGAGCACAAAATCCTTTCTCCTCTATTAGAAACTTCTCGCCGCCGGGTGTCAAGGAAACACGGCGGAGAATTTGATACGCTAACTTATTCTTTTGAACCTGACAGGAGGTGACCGCGCCGGGGAGGGGAAGAAAAAAAAGCATGTATTGTGGAATGGAGTGTGACATTCAGTGAGTGTGATTGGGGAGGAAGGGGGGGAGACGAGTGTCTGGGTGTGTCGGAGAAAAGGTGTTGTCGCGGTGATTGGGTTTTGACTGACAGCTGCGGGGGCAACCTGGATCTGATTTGATTGGACGCTCGCTCATCCACGAGCGGCGGTGCACGAAACTGAGCATCCCTCATAGACACAGGCGCTCCTGTTTGCTTCTGTCTTAGTCACTCGCTGCTTGTTGCTGGATCTTCGCGTCTCCCCTTCGCCTACGCTTTTCTTCCCTCTACCTCTACGGTCTGTTTGTTTTCCTGCCTTTACCTCCTTTTTTTTTTCTCCTCTTCCTCTTGTAGGATTTTGCATTTCTCCATACATCCTCAGAGGTTTTTTTTTTTTTTATTGCCCAGCAGGAGCTTAAACCCTGAACTCTTGCACCGTCAAGGCCGTTTCAAACCATTTATCACCGTGTAACATACATGTTGGTCGTGCAGCACACACGGTTTTCGTCCGCAGGGTCTCATTATATCGCACACAAATAAGATTCTTCGCGCAGGTGCACCCCCCCCTCACCGGGGCTCGCCGTGCCTTCGCCGTCTATAATTTATCGATTCCCACGCCGCCAGCGAAGGCACGTACATGCAATGACAGTCACCTCCTCCTCCCCTTATCGGTTCCAGCTGCCAATCAAAGTTCCCAGCTCCTCCTCGCCACTACTGTGACGAGATGACAGCAAAGGGAGGGGGGTGACAGGAAGGCAGAGGAGGATGGCGGAGGAGGGAGTTTGGAGGGTAAAGGTGTGAGGGGAGATACAGGAGAGTTATAGGAAAGGACGGAGAGAGGTTGGGGGAGGAGGCATCGTGACAAGGCAAGAGGGGGAGAGAACCGACCGTGAGTGACACGGCCGGGCAGAGAGATACCTGATGATGGAGGTGGAGGTGAGTCGGAGGGGGGAGGCGAGCGGATCGATGGAGGTTCATCTATAATGCAGAAAGGCCAGGGGAAAGAGTGTATTTGTGTGGGCAGAATTTAAGACGCCGGCTGCAGTTTGTTTCCCGCTGAGAAAAAAATAAAAAAATTGTGTGCACACCGTATCAGCGGACACGCAAGAGCTTGTACGAGCAGGTGTTTTCGCGCCGCGTGTTTATACACAAGTCGAGTTCGAAACAAGCGACTGTTTGCACGACAGGGGTGTCAGAAATTGAGCATGTTAATGTGCTTACAAGTGTTCGGGAGTGTGTGCCGACTGTCACCGCTGTCACCCGCACGCACGGCTCGGAGGTGTTGCTGTGTATCCGCCGTGTAGTTCGACAGCTTTTCAGTAACAAAACAGCGATCGCATGTGTGTTTACCGCACCGACGCTTCGATTAGTAGCAACACCCTGCCTGACCTGTTCATTACAGGCCAGGCCTCCATCAATACACGTTCTGGTGAGACGGGCCGAGGTGCCGTGTGAAGAGGCGGCATTTATCTGAATCATGTCATGCACTTGGGCTTGCCGAGAAAGGAGTCGTGTCAAGGAATCGCACCTGGTTCGAGTGATGAGGCGGAAGGTAACATAAAAATAAATACGGCTAACCTGCAGTCGATGAAAGACGGCACATAGAAGCTGACTTAACTGCATGATGTCAGTCTCAGCTTTTTGACATGTCCATGTGGTTTTTCTTATTCACTAGAAGACATATCATGAGTAAAACACACAGTCAGGCCACGAAACAATAGGATGTGATCCCAGGTTCAAAAATATTCAGACTTCTTCAGTTTCATCTGTACAAAACCTAATGAACACGTCCTGTAATTGTGCAACGAGGGACTTTTTTTTGTCTCATTGCTCTTCTTCAGAATTGGTTTCTGGTTTGATCATGTGTGGCTGAATTAATCCAATCTTACTCGAGTGGCACAGAGAAGTTTTAGAGTGTTTAAGTGGAGTTGTAGGTGAGCCGGTGTGCTCGAGCTGCAGCGAGAGGCAGAGGAGCGGGTGGAGAAAGAGGCAAGGACTTCATGGAGTTGCACGTTTTAGACAACAGTGTAGAGTTACATCTAAGGACATTTTAGGACAGGAAGGGATCGTTTTCATGAAGAAAAAAATTCTAAATATGTATTTCTGGTGCATGGAGATGATATTTTAGAAGTTTAATCAATGACCGGAAAAGAACTTATTAAAAATAAATAAATAAATAAATCATTATGAGAGAAAGCAAGGGTTGAAGTAGCCTAATGTTGCAGCATCTTGAAGTGTCTAATTTTGAAAACAGACGCACTAATATCTCCCCCAGCAGTCAAAGATGATTTATTTTAAACATGTTCAATCCTAAAGCAAGTTATCTATAGTTAACTAACTTAACTGCTCCTTAAAATAGAGCTGCCAGGTCAGACAAATAAAATAAATAAAATTATAGTGACTTTTTTGGAACTTCTGGCGCTGCAGATTTCTAAAATTTGACGCTTCACAACAAAGAGAGTTTTTGTACTGAAGGTCTGATGATTTGTCTTTCGGCTGCCTTATACAGATTTACCACATGATCCTTGACGTGGTTGTGATTTCTGTAAAATTTAACCTGAAGTCAGTATTTATTGGTACAACATGTGGAAATCACAAAGTACTGATTCTGTTCATTTCAAAGATTCAGAATCACCAGTTTAAGCAGTTTGCTGATTTCTCTTCTGAAGCGAAGCGGTTTCACTCCCTGTTCAAAAACACTTCAGTGTGTATATGTGGCAGTAAGTGATGGTATCGCTGTTCACAGGCCCTCCAGTAAACACAGCAACAGGTGAGCGCATCATCGTCGCCACTCAGCGCTGATTCACACCGTCTGCTGTTCAGTAGTAATACTTTCAGCCCGTCGCTGGTCCAAGCTGTCACATTCAGTTCAGCACAAAGCTAGCCAACACGAGCACTGTGCATAAGGTTAGTAGTTCAGCAGCCTGAAAGGAATCCCCAGACTGCGATTGGTCCTGCGGCGCTCAGTGTCTTTTATTATGCTTTTACAGAAGATGTCACAGACTGTGAATCACAGCTGAGCTTACGAGGGCGCTGACAGTCGCCGGTGAGAGGATCTCGACTGCTAAAAGCTATCAGTATGGTCAGCGACAGCCATGATTCACTGCAGCTGACTTTGAAAATTCGTTGTCATTCATTCATGCACTTGATTCCTCTGATCGCCACAGAGGAGGAAAAAAGTCCGTTCTGCTTGAAACTGTGTGAAAATGTAGGAACATGACGATGATGTTGCATATCTACTAAGACAGTTATGCTGGGAAAAAAAAAAAAAAAGTGCAGCAATATTTCTATTTAATCGCATTTTTGGGGTATTGCTGTACTGTGCATGTAGGTATGTGGGGGTGCACGTGGTGTCTAGACTGCGCTTAAATAAGATAAGATGCAACTTTAGTAATCCCGAAGGAAATTGTTGAACTAGGTCAGAAAAAACTAAATGACATGACATAAGAAATGCAGTAAGAAAAAAGCAGAAAAGCTAAAAGATCTAAGTACATTCCTGAAAATAAAATAAGCACGCTAAAATAAGACTAAAACAGAAGAGTGAAAAGTAATGCTGGCAATTATACTGAGGTAATGTCATGCATGATAATTTAATATTGCACCTGAAAAATGAAATATTGCACAATGCATGTTAATATGCAGTGTTTCATTGTTCAGGTGCAATATTTCAATTCCAGTGTTTTAATTAGACGTGCACACAGCGTCTTACTTGGGGTTGCCGTCGCCCAAACACCGCAGAGAGAACTTCTCCCCCTCTCTCGGCAGATCGCTCTCAGGCTGGATCTGCACTTTTGGGGAATCTGTAAGTAGAAGAGACACAGAAATACACACAGACACAGAGTATAGTTACATAACACAGGACTCATGAGCGTGCAGACAGTCTCATTCATCCCCGTCTCCATCTTACTCCCACCTGCATCCTGTAGGCGTCACCATCTCTCTGCCTCCCACAATGACATAACCCCCTTACACAACGGCGCCGCTCTCCCTCGGCGATGCAGTGCCGCCGCGACGCCCACAGGGTGGCAGCACTGGCACATCCTCGGCGGCGGCGGCGGCTTCCAATTACGGTTTCATTTTAGATGATAACCTGCTCTTTTTATCCACTGTGACTCAACTCTTGCCGGAGCAAGGTGAAATTCCTGTGTGGTCATTATTGCGGGGCTGCTAATGTGAAATTATTGGAGCAAAGATCAAACTGAAGAGGGGGAGAAAATGTGCTTATACTGCCCAATAAAAGAGAAGGTCAAGGCAGGGATAGAAAAAAAGAAAAAAAACACAGAACAGTTTGGAGGTTTTGCTTGTCTGTCCTCTATTCTCCCTCTTCTGTTTCCCCACACACACACACACATTTCCCAGCTGACTCACACAGCACTCGCAGGGCCTGCTCGCTCCTCTTGTCCCCCGGGGCGAGGGACGGGTGGTCGACGGCGCAGGTGATGAAGGCGTTGTCGTCGCCGCTGCTCACCGTCAGGGTGAGCTCGCTGCTCACGTTGTACGTGGGGTCATCCGGAATGGCCTCCACCACGTTCGGACGCCCTGAGGTGGAGAGAAGGGACGAGAAGAGAGAGGAAGCATCTTAAGCATCGACTAGTGCAAACACACACAGAAAACAAAAGCCATGACACAGAAAAAAAAGCCTCCACTTCATTGTGGATGTGGTGGCTTCATGTCGTAGAACTGCACAGGACTGCAACGACCCCCATTTGTTCCTATTAAATGTGCCTCGTGCCTCTGGGTGTTTTTGCTCTGCGATCTATCATTATATGCCACATATACTGTCTAACAATGCATTTCCAACTATACTTACAGCAATATCAGAAAAAAATATCATCATTTTCTCTCTCTCTCTCTCTCTCTCTCTCTCTAAAAGGCTTTTCTGCTGACTCATTCACTGATGTATACACGGATCCTATCCAGTAAAACCTCAAATCTGTAGCTCTGCCTTTGTCTTCGACTATCTCGCTTACCTTAACTCGCCTACCACTTGCTTTTTTTGCTTTTTTAATTTACCTGAATGCATTCATTCCTATAATTCTTTCTATAAACTCTACAAACAGCTTCTTCTGGCAGCTTCCTCACATCCTGTCTCCACACCCTCACTTATTAGGAAATCAAAATTTCAATCGCCAAGCTTTCCATCGTCCCCCCAAACCTGCAAAGAAAAAGTCAACCTCAAGATCCGAGTGGCAGCAAGAGTTCACTGAATATTCCAGTTCCCTTCAGTACCCGGAGCCCCAGTAATGTAACATCAGTAAACTGTGCACAGCACGCTCATGTTTACTAACCAGGCCAGTCTGTGATGTTTCATGCTGAAGGACACCAAAGGGACGAGAGAGAGGCTAAAGATCTAATGTTGCTAAGTCCAGCTTTTCTTTGGACTCCCCTGCTTCGCTGTTGCTTAGGAGACAGCTTGCATTTCACAAGATTTGATCCGTCACTGTGGACAGAGAGGCAGCTACGCTCAAGAGCAGCGTTTCTTTTGGCAGATGAGGAGAATCTGCAGCATCTCCACCGCAATCTGTTGCGGCCACATTTTAGTTGTTATAGTGTAAGTTTGAAGCAATCATATGCCAAGATTTACATATTCTACTTTCTCTCTCTCTTGCTGCATGGAGGAGAAGAAGAAGAAGAAGAAGAAGAAGAAGCGGGCAGGTGTAAGTGGGCCTGTGCGGCAGCGATACAGTGAGACATATGAGAGCATCAACACGGCTGATTCTGCCATCTGGAGATCGCTCTCTATTGTAAGAAGAAATATCAAACTGGGTGGTCAGACCGTGAAAGTGGTTGGTGAATCTTGGAAAGTGGACCAGAACCTTATCACTTACTCCTGCATGGTGCTGCTGACACATAACACTCGCGCACGCACACACACAAGCATGAGCGCATGTAGGTCAGGCTCATGAATAACATATACACAGAGGAGACAGAGATAGTGGCGGGGAAGCAGGCTGCACGAAAAAAAAAACAAAAAACACATCTCTTTTTTTTTATTTCCATTATCTCACTCTTTCTCTCCAACACACTGATATTACAGATGCCTCTCCCTCTCTCTTCCCTCCACCCCCTCCTGAGAACTCTTCAAATACCACTGAATCTAATGACATCTCTCTTTTTATTACCATAACCAGTCCTCTGACCCGCAGAGAAAATTAGTTTACTTTCCAGGTGCATTTCAATAATCTTACGCCACTCAGAGGAGTCTTTTCGTCACTGTCTGCCTCTCTCTCACTCCCCCTCCTCACGCTTTCTCTTTCTCTGCACACACAAATGCAGACAGTATATAGCCTTTATTAAAGACCACGGCTCTCCAAAAACCAGACTTGGGAATGAAGAAATCCTGTTTGTTTACCCGCGGACTCCGGTGTACAGTATTTCTGAGATCATACAATGGAGTTTTAATAAGTTTTTCAGGCCCAAGGGGTCATGGAACTGACTCAACACATTCATTAAGGGGGAAAAAATAAGATGCAGTCAGTGTAAGAGGTTTTTCCCCAGACAGCAGTGATGCACATTTGCTCATAATTCACATTTCCTCAGTTCATTATTAGATAATCAGGGCAGATTTGCATGTCAGCTGCTGCGAGCGGAGCAACAACCAAATCAGACTGGAAAGCAGGAACAGGTTGTGTTACACTGGATTTACATGCTAACACATTCTGCCACTTTAGGGGTCAGTTTTGCCCAAATTACCAAAAAAAAATATACCTAAATACACATTTTTGCCGAGCAGCTCGGTTGTGTTTTGCGGCATGGTTGTGAGATATTCACCTTGGAGATTTCATACTCCACACCTGGAAAGTGGAGTTGAAAATAAAAGCAGTGGTGCAGACAGCATCAAAAAAAATAAATGTAAAATGCTTCTCCTCAGAAACAAGGTCCTTGTTACTGTTTCTCCAATTAAAATGGTTCCCAGTGAGTTTTGTTTTGCTGGAAATATAATGCAGTTTGCAGTTGAATTGTTCCTAAATTGTTATTTTTGATTGCTGTGAGCACCAAAAACCAAATTTTATTCACCACAGTTTTATTGAGGCAGAGGCAGAAATCTTGGAGACAGAACCAAAACTAATAAAACTAATGGTATGTGTACTGAAAACAGCTATAATTAGTTAGACTAACAATGGTTTTCCTCCTTCTCTCAGAATGGGCTCAGTTGTAGTGAGGAACTGACTGTGTATCATTACCTGACTCCATAGTTTCTATTGGAGCTTCTCAATGTCTCTCACGTCAGTGTTTTTGGTTTTTCTGCCTGCAACATCACTGTTCTGGTTCACTGTTTAAACTCTCATAGCTTCATTTCCAGTTGAAGCGGCCAGCTGTTTTCAGCTCCGATAAACCCGTCAAACAGCATCCGACCACCATCCAAAAACAAACCACCAAGTTAGCAGCTAGCAGGCGAACACAGCTGAGCGTTTAGCAGCTAAAGAGCCAGGTATTTCCCTCAGGAGCTGGCCGTGACCAAAAAAAATAAAGGCAGAGCGAATATTGGATTTGCATTCATCAGGATAGGAACACAACTGCAAATAAATGCAAATGCCGCTCGGTAAGTGGTAGATGTGTAAACAGGCAAATGTTTGCAACTGTAATACCTTCCAGACATCATCTTTATAAGGTGATAATATGTCAGGAGATGGGTCTTTACATACACATAACAAACAGATTGTAGAACAGATCACGTCACAAGGAATGCAGTGTGGAGCTGATGGTGTACGGGTAAAAAAAAAAAAAGGTGCAAAAATAATGTGGTGTGGTGTTGAATGTAAAGGAAACACAGCAGACATCCGTCAGTGCAAATTAAACTCCAGACATATTCACAGACGATATGCTGTCCTCACTGAGAGAGCGTCAAAAAATGTTAGCTTTTTATTTTGTCTAATGTAAAAAGGCCACACGTTTGTTGGTCTAAACACTCGTCTTTACTCTGTATCTCTACCTCCATCCATCCATCATCTATACTCCGATTAACCCTCACTAGGGTCACGGGGGGCTGGAGTCTATCCCAGCTGACTTAGGGTGAAGGCAGGTTCACCTGGACAGGTAACCAGTCTATCACAGGGCTACACTTAGAGACAGACAACCAAGCACACTCACATTATCTTTACAAATAAAGTCAATTTATGGTACAAATTAAAGCTGTCATTGACTTATCACTTCATTCCCAACTATTAAAAGCAGTTAAAGTTAACAAAAAATACCTAATAACCAAAAAAAACATTATGCCATCAAAGTACTGTTATAATGGCGGAAAAAAATCCAATAAATATTAATATTCAATTACATTTTTCCAGCATTAGTGAAAGTGCATGCAGCATTGTCCCTCTTTAACATTTAAACTCGATTATACTCCAGCACCTGCTAAAATTTTCATGGGATACCGGCACTTTTCTATAAAACTCCTATTCCTCGAATAAAAAGGTGGGCAATCGGCACATCCTTGAGACTAACTTCCCCCAAGGTGGTGATGCCATGCAGATGAGGTGCTGGAGCTGCTGATGCATCAACCCTCAAGCGTACAATCCACCATAAAATAATCACATTAGGGGAATCAAACAACTGCATGCAGCAATTACTGCGTCCGGCGTGTTTGGGACTTCACGGCTGGAGATGTGTGCTTGTGACCAGAAGGTCTGGATTAGTGCTGAAACAATTAGTCAATGAATCCATTAGATGATGGAACAAATGGGTCATAAACACTGTTTTTGTAATCAAAGAAATTAATCTGCCAGTGGGATTAAATTGTTTTGTTTGTTGGTAAATGCAGACTCAACTGCGTGGCATCTTTTAATTATTGCATTGAGAGAGAGTGACATTATCCCAACAAACTGTCATTTAACTTCAAAAAGCAATAAATTAATAGTGCAAAGATATACATTAAATGATATTTTTACGTTCTTGGAAATGCACCAGGACTTTCTCCACAAAAATAACAATGCATTAATTATTTAGAAACAATTATCTCGTAAAAAAACGTCCATCATTTGCTGCCTTTCAAAAGTTAGAATGTGCAGCTCTGTTTTTCTCACATTATAACGTTGGTTGGACAAAGTCATTAGACTTCAAACCTTCTCACTACGTTTCTTAATTGTTTTGGGGTTTGGACTGAGACATAATTCAAAAGTGTCTTATTGTGTCTCTTTTCAGAACATTTTGGTCTCACGTGTTTCCAGAATATGTCGTGTTTTTTTCATTCATTCATTCACCGTCCTTCTATAACGTTAACTTCTGTTCAACGTGGGCTGTTTCAGCTCCTGTAGCTTTAAACTGCTGCTGTCGTCGCCCCCTTTAGGAAGAAGACTCTCTCTTCAGCTTTAATTGACAGCGCAGAGAAACAACAGCTGGATAGAAGCTAACAGACTTCCTGTGAGCACAGAGAGCAGGAGAGCAGCAAACACATGTAAACCCTGCAGAGTTCAGGTCGGGAGTTCTTCCTCTCCGATGCGCTCATAGAGAATATTTCATTGAATTGGGTCGTCTATGTATAACTTTGTGCCTTTTATTGTAACAGTACGATTTTAAACTTACTATTTAAATGCTCAGGTAAATTCACATTGTAAATAACATTATGGGGTCTTGCTGGGTTTATTTAATGATGTAATTTATTACATCAATCTCGTTCACCATTGGAAAGCACTTTAGCTCCATGACTGTTGTTCTAAAGGTTCTTTGCAAATAATGGCGACTTGACTAAAGCGCAACAGGCAACATGAAAGCTCAGTAACCCACAGGCCTTGTTTTTTTTATTTCAAATGGGTTTTGCAGTTTTGTGAATGTCCATCAGCTTCCATAGAACTCTGACCTGTAGGCATACGATCAAAGACGATGGTAACGTTAGCCCCACTAGTCGCACAGTGTGCTAACAGTAAGGACTGCCTGCTTGCTGTGTGGACATCAAAAACAAAGTAATAAAATAAAAGTAATCCGTTTGGTCTTCAGTTCCACAGACGCTGGAAGTGCAAAAAGACTCACTTTTGCAGCAGAAACATTTGTTGAGCTTTGGTTGTGACATTTTAGAGTGAGCAGAAGCAGCTCTAGAAAGTAAATAAAGCTGGTAGACTGGGAGGTGGCTGCTCTCTCTGAACAGCTGACCTGAAAGCAGGTAGGGGGCATTATTATACAAAGGTGGAGCAGGACAGCTATTGGTACCTCAGTTTCCACCGACCAACTCAACAACATTCTCACATGCTTGTAAAGCCGGGGGCCATCCAGGTCATGAGGGGCCAGAGGAACGTTAGCAGGAAACTTCTTCATATTCTCACAGCTGCTATTTTACAACTTTTTTAAAGACGTACTATAAAAATGGATTTTCACCGTGTGGGACCTTTAAAGTCAACACTCTAGACTTTGGTCATTTTTTTTCATTCTGTTTGTTATTTTCTACCTTGTAGACAGAAGTGCGACCACAAAGCAATCAGATCACCCGATCATGAAGATATTCGTCAGTTACAGCCCCTCTCTGGAACAAGAAACACCATAAAGAAAAGATCAGTGGCACCACCGCGAGGAAGTAAAGTGATCAAGTGAGTAAAACTCCTCCTTAATATTCAACAGCTATGCCAAGTGAAAGAGGTGCTTAACCTCCAGACTCTCCGGTGGAGCTGCTCTGTCGCCAAGAGCAGAAAACTCTGGTTCCACTTGGCATCTCAAAGGTGTGAAAGTGTGCAACTGCGAACAGGAAGAAACACATGCTCAGCAAAAGGCCCGTCCCTGGAAAAGCGACGGGTTTCAAAGTAATCGAAACAGTCATCACTTTTAAACTTTGGTCTGGATTACGACCAGTGAAGGCACTCGAGTCTGATTCCAGTGTTCATATGAGGTCATCTAATTTGGAAGGAAAGTTAATTAATCCTGTTACTGGATTACTGAGTGAACATAGCTGCTGGGATGTATTTCGGCTCCGTCCTGCTGCGTGCTCTATCTATTTTCAGCAGAGGTGGTGAGAAAGTACATTTCCTCAAATACTTTACTTGAGTACAATTTTAAGACGCTGTATTTCCATTTATAGCTGTTTTTTTTTTTTTACTTTGACTGCACTACATTTATGTTAGCTATAGATACCAGTTAAACCCTACATGCTTATAATATATAAATAAATATTGTATATGTGGAGCTTCTAAAATATAAACTAAAAATACTGTATAAAGTTGCTGAAAATTGGAGCTCAAGAAAATTGTGATTGTCAGTTTTTATTTAATACAATAAATGATTATTCAGTTTCATCAACACTAAGAATTATCATCACTTGCAGCCCTGTTGTGTTCCATTTGCCAAAGTGCTGTGACTGTGGCTGAACTGACTTGATTTTCTTTGTTTCTGAAAGGATGTAAATGTCAAATGCAGACTGTGTGAAAATGGTTTCTCCAGTTACTAATTTTCAAATCCTCTTAATCTCAGTATCCTGCCTCAGCATCCTTTACATCTAAAAGCTATTTCATGGCGTCCGCAAAGCTCAATAGCAGGTGTTATATAATGTCTATAATAATGAGGCAGTCTCACAGGAGCCACAGGTCAAAATGAATCACTTTACTTTTTATACCTGAAGCCAAAATTGCAGATCCTGTACGAACCCTCTGATCCTCCAAACCCACCAGCAGGTTTAAGAGGCGTGTTTAAAAAAAAAAAATCACCAAAATGAAAGCAATTATCAGAGCTAGAAACTGCAAAAACAGAAGGAATCAACAGATTTTCAACTAATCATGTGCGACAAACAGTTTTCTCTAGAAAACTAAAGAAATGTGAGGTTAAGATTGTGATATTTCACAAAATCCCTTTTTTTTTTTTCGACACATCTAATTAAAAAGTTTGCCTTTGCACTAACCAGATTTTATTAAAAAAAAACAAAAAAAAAACAAACAAAAAAAATTCTGTGATCCACACTGCAATAGAGAAATCCCAAATGACTCATCTGTGACCAACAGTCACAAAACAACAATTCAGGGACTATTTGGCTGAATGGGGACTGTGTTTACAGAGCAGATAGGAGTCAAGTGTGGAAATAAATTTTAAAAAAAAACAAATAGATGGTAAAGAATATCTAGAGTATATACAACCACCATTTTTTTCTTAGTATTGGTAACACCAGGAGGCGCTGTGAAAATACACTGAATACAGTTCTTGAATTAAAAGTTTAGTTTACAGAAGTTTTCTCTTTTTTAAAAATGATTTATGGCATTATAAGTGTGTCATCGTGCACATACATCATTTTTGTGTTGTTTCCACAGAGGTGCAGGACGTTAAATTGAATTAAAATTGAGCCGACATGAAGGGAAATGCGGCAGGAGCAAAAAAATAAAAAAAAAAACGGCCATAAACCGATTGGGCTTCAAAGGATTAAATGAACATCTTAATGCAGGACTTTTATTGCAGAGAGGAACTTCCACATTTTAGGGATGTACGTACTTCCTCCTTCCTCCAGCTTCTCTTTCTCTTTGGTTCCGTGCAGACACACGCCCATGTACCCTTCACCATCCGCCCCACGTTTCTGCATTATGACAATTTGGGCCAGAATTCAACCGGTATGGCCTTAAGTGCCACCATAAATCCCCATTATCCCCAATCCAATACATCGATGTCACTAAGTGATCCATAGCCCTTTCACACAGTACAACTAATACAGTCTTCAAAGCTCTTAGCCTTTCATTCTTCTCAATTACCACTCCCTTTCCCCGCACTCTCTCTTCCTCTCCCCTCTCCTCTCCTCTCTCCACTCTCTCTATCTAAATCCTCTTTCCGGATTTCTCTCTCCATTTCGTCAGCCTTCCCCTTCTTTCTCCTCTCTCCTGTTGCGCTCCCCAGTCAGTCCCCTCTTCTTTAAAACTGGTCCCCCTTCGCCTCGTCCTCCTCTCTCCGTCCTCCTCAGCCACACAAAGCTGCCTTACTTCTTCTTCTTCTGTGGTTTTCTTAATTCCCCTCTCTGCTCTTTCTCTTTTTTCCTTCTGTCTCTCTCTCCACGTCGTTTTTTTCTTTCGCAGTTTCCATCACTCTCTTCCCCGCAGTCGCTTCGTCTATTTTTATGCACACACACACACACACACACACACACACACTCCCGTTCATTCACTCTCTGTTCTCTGTTTTCTCGGCAGCCCTTCACTGTCACTTTTCTTGATACAAGGCGTCTTTCTCTCTATCCTTGCCTCTCTCTCTCTCTCTCTGCAACACTCTCTGCATCTGTGTCGCCCTCGTTCCCTTCCCTCTCTCGCTCTCCGTCTCGCTCCCTTCCTTCCTTTTACTGTCAGTGAAGCTGTCAGTGAGCAGCAGTCTATGTGCTCGTCTTTCCAGCATCCACGCATGCACAGAGCTGCAGCCGCGCGAATGAGAAGCTGTAATAATAATAACACACTGACCTGCGGTGCTCTTCCGCAATCTAGCCGGAGATGAGCGCTGTGTATGTGCATGATTATCATCTGCCTATTACCAGTGTGTGTGTGTGTGTGTGTGTGTGTGTGTCATTGCTGAAATGACTGATTGTTGTGGTGCAATGTCAGGACGGCCGGGCGAGGCCCCAAACACGCCATCATTCACATCGAGTTGATCTCCTTCAAATCTCTCTCGGTCCGTCTCCGTTTCTCTCCGTTCTCCCTCCCCGATTATGATATATTAGCTTTGGGGGACTCTGCTAATTTTATATGCGATATTTAATTTACTAGTCACGACCCTGATGATGTCCTCGGGGGAAGAAAATAAGCTGAATGATGCCATCAGAGTTACCTCGATGGGAGCTAAGAAGACACACATGTCACCCTGAAGCTCCAGAGATATGAGGAAAAAAAAAAAAAGGTGTAATGAGAGACACTGTCCGGTTCTATTAGGGGAGGTTTTAGAAATGAACCCACAACCGGCACAAAGCGTCACGACGCTGAGGCTGGTTTTCAATTTACAGCTTTCGATTTGGCAGTTAAGCGAAAACTTAGCAACCGATTCTGTTTTTTTCACATTTTAATGATGTAAAACCATGTTAGACATTTTAAGTAGAGTCCTGATGCTGCCTGAAGCCAACTTTTAAATTGGTGAGACCTTTATTATATTGGTGAATATGCAAGAAAATGCTTTTTTTTTTTTTTTGCATGTAGACCACAGCAGACTAGTCCAGATTAAAAACTAAATATAGATTTGTCAGATCTGGACTAGATAACACCAGAGAGGCTAAAAAGTCTCAAAAACAATGCCGCTGATTTGTGAAACCTTTATTCTACTTGTGAAAATGAAAAACAGGATGCTTTTAATGTTTTTTTTTAAATTTTTGCATCTAGACCACATTAGACCAACTCCTGATCTAAAACTACAATATATATATATATATATATATATATGGATCAAATCTGGACCAGATTAGGCCAGATAGGCTATAAAGTCTTGAAAACAGTCCCTGATTTGTGAAACCTTTGTTCTATTTGTAAAAACAAAAAAAACGGGGGAAAGATTTAATTTTGTTGCATGTTGACCACATTAGACCAGGTTCAGATCACTAACTTCTACATATAGACGGGTCAAATCTGAATCTAAATTGGTATTGCCTTTATTTTACTTGTGAAAATACAAGAAAGGAAGATTTCACAGTTTTTTTTTGTTGCATGTGGACCACATTGAATCAGGTCCAAAACAGAAAAAACACTACATATAGCCTGATCAGATCTGACTAGATTATGCCAGAGAGGCTAAAGAGTCTTCAAAACATAATGTCTGATGTGTTAAAACTTTATTTTATTTGTGAAAATCCAAAAAAAACTAAGATTATATGTAGTAGTTTTTGATCTGGATCTCATGTGGTCTATGTAAAAAAAAAAAAAGCAGTAAAATCGAACTGTTTTGCTTTTCTACAAATAGACTAAATGACAGCTTTAGGAGTTTACCTAAATTGCCTCACAGAGTTTTACATCATTAAAATGTGGAAACAGTTTCCCTTCGCTGCCAAATCACAAGCTGTGAATCTAAACATCAGCGCCTTTGATGCTTCAGTTTTTTGCTTTATTAAATCTGTCTCCTGTGAGTCTGATAACTTTATGGATTTGCCGCACTAATTTGACGGAGTAGCCCTTTAAAGTTTGGTTAACCACGGTTTAAGTTGGAGAGGGATTGTCCGGACGGTGGGGAGAAAAAAAGCAACCACTAATTGGAGGTCTGTGACAAACTCTGGTTTTGGATGTGCTCAAACCTGTCTCCTGAAATTTACATTCCAATACAACATTCCAATTTAGACTTTGAAAGAAATGTCATTTTGTTTTCATGTGTTTTCACTGAAAGGTACGACTGTGACTGAGTGGGGAAAGACTTTGAAAGAGGCACAAAAGTCCGCGTGAGAAGGCAGGATGGACGTATAAGTTGGTTCAAGCCAGAAGACTGGAGTTCGTGTCCCATGTTGGACCATTATTCTTAGAACTAAGGTTTGTTTTCACCCACTGTTTGGTTTGGTTTACCAAAACTATGCTGTTAGGGGCAGGAAAGTGCCA